GGAAGGAAGGAAGGAAGGAAGGAAGGAAGGAAGGAAGGAAGGAAGGAAGGAAGGAAGGAAGGAAGGAAGGAAGGAAGAAGGAAAGGGTGGAAAGCAGAGGAAGGGAGAAAGGAATGGAGGGAGGAGGAAGGAAGAGAGGGAGGAAAGGAGGAAGGACAGTTCAAACATGGTTTTGTGAATGGGCGATTAGCCTTGTCATGCCCATTGTGTGGTAGAGATATCCGTTGTGCAGAGAACAAGCTCTGAAAGTTCGTTAGTGCAACCTTTTAAAAGAAAGTCTACAGGCGGTCAGCATAATCTCAGTTTATTCATACAACATTTATACCTGTGCAAAATACCATTTTAAAATCCTCTTAGCTTATCCTCCCAACCAACATGTTTCTCATTTGACAAGCAAGAATCAGCACGAGACACTCTTCCATAACATGATTCACCTTTCCGGTTACAGATTTATGTATTTTTTTCCCCCCGTAAAGCAGCCAAAGAATGAGTTTTCAAGGGAAGGCTAGTTTAAATCATTTTATGTTTTGTCTTTACACTTGGGATACATTGAATTCCTTCTTTTTTATAGTCCCCAAATACGGTGGATTTAAAGTCTTGATATAGCAATAGCTAGCAACGTCCATGGTCAGAGACAATCTACCCTTAGTCACTGATGCGTAAAAGAAACAATAGATTAAAGTTCACATTCACCTTTTTGAACCTCCAAAAGCATATCTGATTATGATGATGATGATGATTTTAGAAACAAAACGCTGGAGGTGGAGCTCTGATGCACTGCAGCAAATATAGCTCGATTTTGCGGTTCCCTCTTGTACAGTATCGTAAAAGTAAGAAAATTGGAAACTTGTGTTGTTGCTTTTTAAATGTCCTTTGGAAGTACTGTATACAAACTGTCTCTCCCTGGGTAAAAGGCCTTTCCTTTAAAATCAAGGAACAAAAAAAAAATTCAAGTAGGAATGGTTTTCGGCAGCAATGCATGGCCTCAAACAAACAGAGGCAAATGTGCTTAGCACCACCATACATTTACTAACGCAAGGGTTATCATCGAAAAAAGTCAAGATGGCTACAATCACGTGGTTGGGAGTTTCCAACTTGATTTTTGGAACCCCCTTCAAGGACTCCCGTGTAAAAATGTGTCCTAAGAAATTCATTTAAAAACAAAAGATCTTACAAGATATCGTAGAATAGTTTGCTGTAATGAATAGGGAAGTGGTCTATCGTGAGAAAAGCTTGGTGTACTTGATGTATTTCTTAATATTAACGGGAAGGAAATAGATGGCTAGAGTGGAGTAGCTTGGATGGAAAAGACATGATAAGGCAGGGCAGGTGTCAAACTTGATTTCATGGAGGCCACATCAGGGTTGTATTTGACTTCAGGGGGCAGGGAGGTGTGGGCAGAGGGGCATGGCCAGCTTGACATCACTAGTGTCATGGGTGCTGTCATGCCCCTGTAGGAATCTGATTCTGAGGGGGAGGCCGAGCAGTTGACAGGGAGTAGGAGTGTGGTTCTGTTGGCTGTGGAAGAAACTGGGGGAGGGCACAGTCCGGCTGGCAGAGCAGGGAAGAGGTAGAGCAAGGGAGAGGGAATTCGGAGGAAGACCCAGGCCCAGCCCCTCTTCATCCTAGGGCACGCAGGGAGGAACAGAGAAAGGAGCAACATGAGTTGCATGGCTTACGTGGGAGGAAAGGGCCCTGATTCCCTTCATTAGCTGCAGCTGGGAACGCAGTGTTTAAAAAGGGAAGCTACGCACAGCAACTTGTTGGAAGCAAATTGTGAGTTATCTGTTATTGTCGAGGCTTATCTGGGTTCCTGGCATCTTCCCAACTGTGTGTGTTTTGTTGGCCTTCCAAGTCTGCAATTTCTTATCCTGCCCTGTCAAGTTAATTGCTGCAGCGTGGTTTGTGTGGATTTTTATTTACAGTTTGTATGTACTTTATTTTTGGACTGAATTTTCTCCACTTAAAGACTGTTCTTGGGAGAGTTTTTTTCTCCAGCCGAAGGTAACCTGGACATTGGGGAGGCATGAACGGGACTCTTCTTATTTATGTGACTGTGTTGCCTTTGTGCCCCGGGTCATCACAGGTGCCTGTGGGCACCCAAGTGCTCTGCCAACGAAAATTGAACCCACGACCCTCCTTACCTCCATTTTTGCTGGCAGAGGCATTGCGGGCCAGTCCTTCGCTGTTTCCAGGGTGTTCCCTGGGCCAGATCTAAGCAACCCATGGTCCAGATCTGAGTTTGACACCCTGGGCTTATTATGTTTCAAAAAAAAAATAAAAATCCGCATTCTAGTGGTTTTTTAAAACCAAGATGGAAGTTAGGATGGCCCTATTTTCCTTGCCCTACTGACAGTTTCACCTTTCCCCCCTCCCAAAACCAAGTATCACCCAGGGGTGGGATTCTACCGGTTTGGCATGGTTCTATAGAACCGGTAGCTCTGAAGAACACCTGACACCAAACCAGTTTGCTCTGAAGATCTTCTTTGCTTCAGTTGAGCCCACCTGCCCACCTGGGCTCTAGGCTGTCCTTTATTCCCTGCTAAAGGAACCTTAGTTGCTTTGTGCGGCACAGGAGAAGATTACTGCTTGCAGGAGAAGTTGATTTACAAGTACTGTGCACGCACACTCACCGAACTGGTTGTTATGCTGGTAAGATCCCACCCCTGGTATCACCCGTGTTCTTGGAGATGTGAGCAGGCTAAGATGAAGAAAGGCGACCTTCCACCAGTGGCACAGAGTCAGATTTTCGAATGTGTGCGAGACAAACTACCAAGGCTGTAAGAGAAGTCCTCAAAAAAAGATAACGCTGAGCATCAAACCTTGCAGAGCTGTCAATCAGGTGCCCCTTTGGATGCTGCAGTGGACCGAGAGTGTGTGAGAGTTTGCAAGGGTTGAAGTACTCGGAGGGAAGCAAAGTCATACAGCAAGTGCAAAACTTTCCTTCTCTTGGAATGGTGTGAAATTTGAGCCTGCCGCTGCGGTCTCCTTCTGCTAAACATTGCAAAGTAGGTTTGGAGTAACGCCCTTGAAAAATAACTTACAGAGCTAACGTGAAACATTCGTGGTTGGTTGCTTGATAACTTCAGTTTTCTGAGCAGTGGTTAGGGAAATCATGGGGAAAGCCCTTCCTTTTTTTTCTTTTTCTTTTTTTCTTTAAAACAGAGGGACTCTAAAGTTAAAACACCTGATTGTTCCAAAGTCCGCTGAAATATTCTTTCTGGTCTGGTTCATAGTAAGAGTTGGCTGTGAAAAGGAGAAAAAGAGAGAGAAGAAGAGTCAAATAGTACAGTCAACTCAGATAGCTATGTGCAACCTACAACCATCACTGGGGAGAGAATTTCTTAAGTAAAGAATATTTTTCTTACACTGTTTTGATACAAGCGATTCAATTATTGTAGAGAACTACAGAGACGGCTTAAAAGGAATGTGAGGGCAACTTTATAAACACCAGAATAGCCTTGAGAGAGGTAGGGTGAGAAAGAAACTCAAGACTGCTCTGTCTCGATTCTCTTCAGTACAAGAGAGAGAGAGAGAGAAAGACAGAGAAAGACACACACAGAGATACACAGAAATACACACACTCACTGAGAGAGAAAGACAGAGACACAGAGAGGGAGGAGAAAGTTTGTCAGGCTTTCAAGATCCTGCAACTGTGGAGTTCTGATAATGTTACTACAGTTTGTTTCCTGATCTTGAAGAGCTGAGAACTATTTTACTGATGCAAAGCTTATCCCTGCAGGTACCGTAGTTGTTTAAAATAAAGAAAAAAAAGAAAAGTAAAAGCCCAACTTACCTATATGGCAGTTGTACACCCACACACGTAGTGATCCATACCTGACGTTACATAGCATAACATTGTTGGAATAATCAGACTCTGCCACTTCAAAGTTCGGATTAACAATGATCTGGGAAAAGATAACAGGAATTTAAGTGTGATTTAATTGGATATATAATCCTCATTGGGTGCGTGTAAGAAAAGTTAGTTTGATCGTGCAATGGAAGCCCCATCTCTTTTTACACCTCATAACGTAAAAAGGGGAGGCTTCGATTACCCATCGCCAGCAGACAAATTTCGAGCACAAACTGATGCAGCCACTGCATTTACTGGAGCTACTTGTTAAGTGAGTTTTGCCCCATTTTACGACCTTTCTTGCTATAGTTGTTAAATGAATCACTGCAGTTGATTAGTTCGTAACCCACCTGTTAAGTGAATAGCAATAGCACTTAGACTTATACACCACTTCACAATGCTTTACAGCCCTCTCTAACCAGTTTAGACAGTCAGTCTATTGCCCCCAACAGTCTGGGTTCTTATTTTACTGACCTTGGAAGGAGGGAAGGCTGAGTCAACCTTGAGCCAGTGAGGATCGAACTCCTGCCTGTAAGCAGAGTCAGCCTGAAATATTGTATTCTAACCACTGTGCACCATGGAAGGGAGGGAGGGAGGAAGGAAGGAAGAAAGGACAACAGCAATAGCACTTATATACCGCTTCACAGTGCTGTGCAGCCCTCTCTAAGTGGTTTATAGAGTCAGCCTCTTGCCCCCAACAATCGGCGCTCATTTTACCGACCTCGGAAGGACGGAAGGCTGAGTCAACCTTGAGCCTGGTGAGACTCGAACTGCCAAATTGCAGGCAGCTAAAAGTCAGAAGAAGGAGCCTGCAGTACTGCACTCTAACCACTGCACCACCGCGGCTCTGAATCTGGCTTCCTCATTGACTTTGTCAGAAAGTCGCAAAAGAGGATCGCATGGCCCCGGAATGCTACAACCATCATAAATATGGACCGGTTGCCAAGCGTCTGAATTGTGATCGTGTGATCATGGCAGTACTGCAAAGGTTGTAAACTGTGAAAAAATGGCCCTACATCACTTTTTTCAGTGGCCGTTGCAACTTTGAACAGTGACGAAATGAACTGTTGTAAGTTGAGGACTACCTGTAGTTAACTGGCTGGCGAAGAGACAGGATGGGGTTGCTTATATTCTGCAAACAAGGCCTATGGTTACTGTTGTGGCTCTGAGGTTTGAGCCTGCATTGTTAGAGGACGAAGACTCGGACAATGGAGAAGAGGAGGTTTTGGAAATGCCTTCCTCCCCAGGACCTTCCTCTTCGGCAATGCCTTCCTCCCTGATTGTGCCTCAGGTGTCGGCAGATAACCTGGAGGGAAGACCTGAGGCTAATCAGGAAAAGGAGGAGGGCGTATCGGAGTCTCTGACTGAGAATCCAGCAGAGGAATGCTGGCTTGATGCGAGGCAGTGTCGCAAAAGTGTGAGCTGCAACGCAGAAAGAAGGGATGAATCAGAGACTGAGCTGAGGGACTGACACGCCCCGCAGGGAATAAAAGTGGGTGTGTTCGCTCTGAGAGTTTCGTACGGGACAACGTGTGACTTATTCAGAGGAGCTCCGGAGTATTCTGTGTTGTGTCAGCTTGCGTGATTTATATTCCTGCTTTCTTGTCGGACAGCGTGTGTGAGACTGCCAAGAACTTTATCGGCTCAAGGAATTAACTCTATAATTACTGGATTTGCTTGCTTGTTTGTATTCAGTTGGAATTTGGACTTCTCACCTCCTTTGTAAAGGTGAGACATAACAGGTTACCATTCCCTGGCAGAAACACAGCTTACCCGAAAGATATAATCTCCTTGTTTCAGATCGGTGACGTCAATCCACTGGCAATCAATATCATGCCGATACACATCATAGCATCCGACAGAGACCCCTTGCTCCCCAAAGTTTGCACATTCGTACTGCTTCTGGACACCTAAGAAGGAAGTCAGTACAAAGATAAGTGTCAATATTTTACAAGAAGACCCTGATTACGGCATTGGAAGGCATGATTGTGTTTTAACTAAACAGCAATAAGAGAAGTGGCAGTGGTGAAATGCTACTGGTTTGGTCCGGTTCTGGTAGCAAAAATTGCTACCGGTTCAGTGAGAAAGAAGAGAAAAGCGCAGGATCGTCCCTCCCACCTGCCCCTGTGCTTTTCTGTTCTTTAGCCTCTCAGCGGATCGGTGTGGCAGAGCCTCAGCTGGTGTTTGGAAAGCTGCATGCGCGCATGCGTTCGGTGCACACACACACACACACACGTGCAAAGTGCACAATCAGTGAACCAGTACGGAAACTGGTAGAATCTCACCACAGGAACATGGGCTATGCAGCTGGAAACCCACTTCTGTGCATGGACCAATGACCCCCATTTTAAAAAGTTACAGGAAGTTGTCAGAGCATTTGGCAGCATGGCTACCTTTATGAGAAAATCTAGGAGCGACACACAGCACACACAGATTTAGATATTGTGATTTAATATACAACAAGTATATACAGATAATCTACACGTGGTAGGCAAAATACCTTTACAAGCAAGCTTTCTTCTTCCTAACACATGGAAAACTTCTGGACTGAATACTGATCACAAGGAAAGAGAACCACGTCCTCTAATGGCTGCCATTTATATACACACCTCTTAAGGGGATCTTTACTCTCCAGTCTTAAAGGGAAATACCCATACTATGCTGACCCACTCTTGTTACATCAGCCAGACTTAGATCAGATTAGTAGTTCTAGGGTCTCATTCCTGTGGATATAGGAAACTGCTTTAGGTTAAATCAGAATGGAGGGCTAGTCTGTTTAATATATCTCTACTGAAATGAGGAACATTTAAGGCTTGGCCCCACAAGCCTTTACTTCCTTCTGCCAAAGACTGTACCCAACATCTCCCCCTAAGTCAACTGCCATTATATAATCTCTTTTTGGAGATACCATTGAACGGGATGTTTAATTATATGCTGTGTCTATGGAGATTCTCGATCATTTGGGTCATGGTTGTTTCAAAGCTGCTTTTCCCAAAAAGCAAGTGGACTTTCTTGTTTTTTTCCCCCCCTTTGAAAGTGTTCTCATCCAAGAAGCTTCTTCAGTTCTTTCTTCAAAAACCAAGAAATTCCTGTTGTCTTTTGGAAGAAGCAGCTTTGGGCTAATTATATGATATGTGTTATCCTTCAGAAAACAAAAAACAAAAACAAAAAACCAAAAAGACATGACAGGCAACTTCTGTTAAAGTATTGAGATTTAAGAACTGAATAGCTGCTAGATGCTGTGATTTTCTTCATTCTGAAGGGGAAAGTATCATCTTTAAAGAATTATTCCCAGGAATGTCCTGGACCCTCAAAGCATTTTTCAACCTGATTTCTGAATAACAATGGATGGTGAAGATTGGTTCTCCATTTGATTTTAATAGCAATAGCCATAGCACTTAGACTTATATACCGCTTTACAGTGCTTTACAGCCCTCTCTAAGCAGTTTAGAGTCAGCCTATTGCCCTCATCAATCTGGGTCCTCATTTTACCCACCTTGGAAGAATGGAAGGCTGAGTCAACCTTGAGTCAGTCAGAATCGAACCCCTGGCTGTGGGCAGAATTAGCCTACAATGCTGCATTCTAATCACTGGGAAGGAGAAAGGGAGGGAGAGAGGGAGGAAAGAAGGAAGGAAGGAAGAAAGGAAGGAAGGAAGGAAGGAAGGAAGGAAGGAAGGAAGGAAGGAAGGAAGGAAGGAAGGAAGGAAGGAGGACAGGCAATCCCTATTGCAAAATCCCTATTGCAAAGTCCTATTCAGAGTTTCCTAAAAATAGTGTGAATAGCAATAGCAATAGCATTTAGACATATATTGCTTTACAGTGCTTTACAGCCCTCTCTAAGCAGTTTAGAGTCAGCCTATTGTCCTCATCAATCTGGGTCCTCATTTTACCCACCTCGGAAGGATGGAAGGCTGAGTCAACCTTGAGCCTGGTGAGATTCGAACTGCCAAATTGCAGGCAGCTGGCAGCCAGCAGAAGTGGCCTGCAGTACTGCACTCTTAACCATTGCATCACTGCAGCTCATAATGGTATCAAAACAGTCACAATCTCTCCCTGGAGACTCAACCTTCGACATGTTTTCTGTGCTAGTGTTAAGTTGGAAAACAGCTGGGGATTAAGGACTGCTAATCACTGAAATAACCTTAGGAACACATGTACCGTCTATGCAGTCACTGTCCTCCAAGCAAAAGCTGGCTTTGTGGCCCTCAGCAACTTGTGTCCAGTTGCTATCCAGCAGGTCATAGTGGGCAAAGACTTCCATGCTGTGGTAATGCCTATGGAAAGCCAAAAAGAAAGCAAATTTCTGATGATTGTCAATGATGATTTGACATCTTGTATAAACTCAGCACTGATTATGTTACCTGGTTGGGTAATGAAACGTCTGCAAGAAAACCACCAAGCTCAGAGAGTACCAAAGACCCCAACCCTGAGCTACAACCATTCTCTTCTATCGATAAACTCAGCTCTCTGTGGTTTAGTTAGGAAGTCATGGTTAAGGCTGGTGAATTCAGGCATTATCTTTATATAATCAAAGCGTATCCGATTGTTGTTTGTTTGAGAAACATCAGAATGGCAGTTTATTGTGATTGTGGTATCTTTCCTACCACATAGGTATACAGGGAATTTCTTTTTTCACTAAAATAGTATATTAACCTACCTGGAAGCCCAAGCTACTACTCAGCCAAATTTACTACTGGTTAAGCATAAATGCTTTTCACTCGGATGAAAATATCTCCCACATGTGACTATTTCCTGGATGAATTCCAGCTTGGTGACATTAGTCTAGATTCTAGAAGAAGGGCATAAATACTAAGCTTGTCGATCAGAAAGGTTGGCAGTTCGGTGGTTCGAATCCCTAGTGCCACGTAACGGAGTGAGCTCCCGTTACTTGTCCCAGATTCTGCCAACTGAGCAGTTCGAAAGCACGTAAAAATGCAAATAGAAAAACAGGGACTCCTTTGGTGAGAAGGTAACGGTGCTCCGTGCGCCTTCGAAGGTGTTTAGTCATGCCGGCCACATGACCGTGGAGATGTCTTCGGACAGCGCTGGCTCTTTGACTTTGTAACGGAGATGAGCACTGCCCCCTAGAGCCAGGAACAACTAGCAGGTATGTATAAGGGGAACCATTATCTTTAACTTATTTTGTCCTAAGCAATAATCAATTGAATTCATGTGGCATCATAGTGTCAAAGTCCATTCCTGTCAACCTTTAGCTGTCTTCAAGAGTTAAGAGAATTACGCCTTAGAACAGTGTTTCTTAACTGTGGCAATTTTAATATGTGTGGACTTCAACTCCCAGAATGCTGGTTGGGAAATTCTGGGAGTTGAAGTTCACATATATTGAAGTTGCTACCTTGAGAAACTCTGCCTTAGGAAATTCTGAGTCTTTAGCTGGATGGGCAAGATGATATAGAGCAGGGGTCTCCAACCTTGGGAACTTTAAGATTTGTGGACTTCAACTCCCAGAAAAGATACAGCTCTTTAAAAGCAGAAGACATAGGCATTTTAAATTGATCAACGGGATTGATAAAAGCCAATAAATCAAATCTAAGTTTCCACAAAGATTAGTGCCTGCGAAAGTTCCGATTGTAGGGACGTTGTGGCTCAGTGGCTAAGACACTGAGCTTATCGATCAGAAAGGTTGGCAGTTCAGCGGTTCGAATCCCTAGCGCCGCGTAACGGAGTGAGCTCCTGTTAACTTGTCCCAGCTTCTGGCAACCAAGCAGTTCGAAAGCATGTAAAAATGCAAGCAGAAAAATAGGGACCCGTTTGGTGGGAAGGGAACAGCGTTCCCTGTACCTTCGGCGTTTAGTCATGCCGGCCACATGACCACGGAGACGTCTTCGGGCAGCGCTGGTTCTTCGGCTTTGTAACGGAGATGAGCACCAGTGCCACCCAGAGCTGGAAACGACTAGCTGGTATGTTCGAGGGGAACCTTTCCTTTTCCCTTAAAGTTCCAATCGTCCTGCTCAGAAATGAGTTGTGCTTTTCTTGAAGCTGCGTTCATAATTTGGGACAAATTTAATCCAGCGCTGCTCCATAAGACCTTGGATCAAACTAAACAATGAACTCACCTGCAGGGAGATAATCCCACTGAGGTACAGTACTCACTTAGTGGGAGGCCTAATTCAAAGTTTTACTTAAACTTTAAAAGTTTAAATAGCTTGAGGGTTGAAGACTTGAAGAGCCATCTGCTCCTATTTATCCTGCCTGGCCTTCTTTTCATCAACATAGATTTTAGCAAATGGTTACAAAGATACCTCATCTCTTTGCAGAGATGTTCACTGCAACCTGTTTTGTACTCTTTTTGTTTATTTTGTTTTCCAAAGTTTTTAGGGCATCGCTGCAGTTTATATGTCCTCTGTGCGTGGTAAGCATTACAATGAAATCTGTTCTCTGTTTATATATTTACATATTTCTATTCCATTTCTGCTACGCATATTGTATATTATGACAAGGGGTCAAAGACCAAATCTGTAATGTTATGCTCCATTTCATTATGGGATGGCGCAGAATCATTTAAGTAAAGAAATCAATATTGTCTACCGATTTGTGCTAAAATAATGGAGGCTGAATCATCTTCCTTGGATTGATTGGGATTACCATATTCTTTAAATAAATCAGTCAGACACCAACTAAGCAAACAATATATCATTCTCTTTCGGCAGGACATGCCGGACTGAAATCTGACAAGATTTTCTTTCCTGAAACCTCATGAGGTGTTATGAAAGAATCCGGACATTTTACAAGATTCGGCAAACTTGCAAGATGGAAGTCTTTTGATTTGTGTTTATCAAAATAGTTTGTCCTTGAGAAGCCTACAGATGGCACTTAGAAGGACGATGATGGTGCTTTGGGGCCCAATCTTTGAGTATTACAGTTCTGCCAATTTGCACAAACCTGCATTTCTTTCACAGATTTAATGGTCTCATGTATTAGAAAGCTCTCTCTTATTGTCATTTGTGCAACCAGCATACTACCTCCTCTCCTACTTACAACTATGTTCCAGAAACCTTCCTGGGAGAAAAAAATTATCCTCATCCGATACTTGAATGTTTGAAACAGAATGTCAACTGAAGGTGGCACTCTGGAACTGAGCTATGCTTTCTTCCCCAAAACAAAAGTATTGTATGAATATCTATGGAGATTGTCAGTCATCCAGGATTGGTTGTCCCAGAGATGCTTTCTCAAAAGGCAACTGGACTTTCTTCGTTTTCTCCTTGACCCTGAAGGCACAGATAAACCTCCAAGTGGCCTCAACAACTCTCAGAAAGAATGCAAATGACCAGATGACTGCAAGGAATATAAATCCTTCCATTCTCCACCATGCAGTCAGAACTGAAGAAGCTTCTTGGATGAGAAGAGAAACGTCTTCAAGGAAAAAGAAAGTCCGGTTGCCTTTTGAAAAAACACCTTTGAGATATATTGTATGAATATCTGACCCAGAATTTATGCTTACAAGGGTGGGATGATAAGTATCAGGTACGTTGTAATAAGCTTTTCTTGTGAAATGTTGAAAGAGATTCTGGTTGCAAGAGGTTTTAGTTTTTAATTTGTGCAACACCCACGATGAATGCCCACAGACTGGCACATTTGCTTGTGCAAAGACCAAGGGTAGAATCTGAAAATAAGCACATCCTGGTATAAGTTGTGGGAAACTAAGGAACTGCAAGGTAGAGTTAGTTAGCTGATTAGCACCTGAGAAAATAAACCACAGAGGACATTAAACACCTGGCATTCAGTATTGGGGAGATGATACATCAATCTGTTTATTCTACTTGCATGTGGGGAAAGCATTTTTTTTTTAAAACTGAGTCAGAGTTGCTATAATAATTTTCTTTTGCCATGCATTCTTTGGTTTCTCTATTGCCTGCCTTTCATTGGAACCCTGCTACCCACCCCATTCTGGATCATGAATAGAATTCCACAGCTTGCAAATGGAAAATACAGAGAGCTGTTCGAACGTCCAAATTCTTTCCTTTGAAGTTGGATGCTTGAGGGATTTCCAGTGTGAAAAAAGTCAAACATAAATGCAAACAAGTTCCTCAAATATGTCTGCCTGCTCAGAAAGGTGTTTATCTTACACTGTTTATGGACCAGAAATATTGTAGAGGAATTGAGCAGGTATCCCTGTCTATAAACAAACTGGTTTTAAACCGGCTGATGATGAGTTGTATAGCTGCTTCACTTAATTTGAACTTTTCAGAGAGCCCAGAAAGGAAATGATAGGAAAGGACACGGTGAGGTTAAATAAAAAGAGGCCACATCAAGAGGGTGGACCAGACATGCTTGTTGGTTCGAGAAGTTTGATCAACTGGTGCTATTCGCCTGCCTGAGATGCTCTTAGGGTTCGGGCTCAGTGATTCAAAATACAAGATATTCAGTGGTTTTTGGAAAAGATCTGCCAATTGGGAATCAACGGAATGAGATGGACCCCAAATCTGGAGTCACCCAAAAGGGCCTCATAGATTCATACAGAACTAGCTGGATTTCTTCCCTGTGCTGTCATAACACAATTTTCTTGGGGAATGATGAAACCCAACTGTGGTGTTTTTAAACCAGGGCTCTCCAAACTTGGCAACTTTTGAGACTTGTGGACTTCAGCTCCCAGAATTCCGCAGACAGCCATGTTTAAATCACAGCGAATTACTTTACTTTACTTTACTTTTTACTTTACCTTTTACTTTACTTTTTACTTTACCTTTTACTTTACTTTTTACTTTACTTTTTACTTTACTTTTTACTTTACTTTTTACTTTACTTTAACTTTACTTTACTTTACTTTACTTTTTACTTTACTTTTTACTTTACTTTACTTTATTTTACTTTACTTTTTACTTTACTTTACTTTTTACTTTACTTTACTTTATACTTTATTTACCTTTTACTTTACTTTACTTTTTACTTCACTTTACTTTACTTTTTACTTCACTTTACTTTATTTTACTTTTTACTTTACTTTTTTTTTACTTTATTTTACTTTACCTTTACTTTACTGTCATTGCACCTCGTACAATGAAATTAAATACCATCTTCAGTGTGTATTATGACTATGAAAATAAACACACACACACACACATCCTTCACATTCTGTACATTGAATTGAAAACCCTGAGCAGGTCAGGAATGTGCTCGTGAGCTTGTTGAGTTTGACTCTGAACCAATGGCCAAGGCCACCAGTATTTGAACTCAGGCTTTTTTCTTGCAAGTGACCCTGCGTGAGTTGTGTCAACATTCAGTGGTTTTCACTTTTTCCCCTTCATTCCTAGTCTACAAAAATGGAGATAGAAAGCAAGACTTGCCTGTGGCATTCGTGCCAGATCCAAGCGTGGCGGCCCGTTTTGGGACGGAAGTCAGCCTGCCCATTGTTATGGATCTTGGAGGAGAAGCGGAAAAGTCTCCTGACACCCTCTGACACCGAGGTATTGACCGCGGAGGAGGCCAGGCAATTCTCTTCCATGGCGCACTGCAGCACATGCATGGGCCGATCCTCCAGGTAGGATGTCTCTTCTACTTCTTTGGCGTTGAGGACGAGATCAGCCGCAGCTGCAGACATGAACGGAAAGTTAGGACTTTGCTTTTATCCTCTGACTAGCTCGATACCTTTGCTTCGCTACAAAACTCTGTGGTCGCGCTTAGTTTTTGGGGAGGAAAATAAGGGGGGGGGGGGAATTGCGCCTCTGCCTAGCCGCATCCATCTGTATTCATCTGTCAGTGTGTGAGAGAGTTGAGGGCCTTTTGGAAACTGAAACATGGAAACTGAAACAGTATTTGCTGTGTGAGCAAGGAGACAGCAAGGAGCCTGGGTGTGGCTTAGCTCAACTGTTCTGTACTAAATCTGCTTGCTGCTGTGAAACTAAAACTGAAACTGAAACTCCTCTCCTCTGCTTGTGTTTTTGCATTTGGAAGAGATTTCTTTTCAGGTGGGGAAGGGAAGTAGAACTCCTTAGCATCAGAGCCTGTTAATAATAATAATAATAATAATAATAATAATAATAATAATAATAATAATAATAATAAT